GCAGCAGGAGGTGGAGGAAGTGGTAACGTTCCTGGAAAACGGCACCTTCCCGGTTCTGCTTTCGTATCCGAGTGCCTTAGCACTCCGAGGCCGAGCGTCATGCATACTGCCTCTACCTGCCCTGCCGAGTCTGGTCTGCCCCGCCTATCCCCCTCCGTGCCAATGCGAAACGTCGCGTTCATGCTCCTCTTCCTCCTTGCCCTGCCTTTGAAACTCGCCATAGCCTGCGTGTTGCTTATCGCATGTCTTTCTAAAGGAATTTTTCTCTGTTTATCGGCAAGACGCTTCGCTTTTTTAATCGGTTGCACCAATTGCTTCGCAACCCTCTTTCTCTCCAGTTATTGCTGCCTCGTTTTTGTGTTGAGCGCGGAAGGGTGGCTTGACTATAAGTCAGGCAACGAGCGTAGCGGGGAGCGGAGCGATGGAGAATAGACCAATGATGTAGGCTTCGACATGTGCCTTTTTGGCCTTCCTTTCTTTTCTCTCCTTCCTTTCCTTCCTCTTCTTCCTCTACTCCCTTCCCTGCTCCCCTCTGCATGACCCCTCCCTACCCCTCCCCCCCACCCGGACCCTCTCCGCATGACCCCTCCCTCCCCCTCTCGTCCTGCCCGACCCTCACCCCTCGACCCCACAACCCTCCATCATCCCTATCTCACTGCACCCCCCTTCGTAACCCGACCAATCCCCCGCCTTCCAGAGATCGTGGAAGATGTCCCCGCCTCTGATGACACCCCACGTGGCATGGGGCAGAAAAGCGCTTCAGGGTATTGTCACAACCTTCACGCAATTCGGCGAGATGATCCACACGGATGCAGGAACGCGCTGGATCTGGAGGATAAAGCTTAAGCGAGATCTCACTTTCCCCCGCCCCTTCCCCCTCTCCCCATTCATCGTTTCTTCCCCCCCCCTCCTTTTTTTTTCCCCATATGGAACCGCATGAACGATTGGCAGCAGAGGAACGGCGTGGGCGATGTATTTTGTTCTTGTTACAGATGAGACTATTCGGTGTGATCTCTGGTTGTCTTTGGATGTATGGACCAGCCCTACCTTCTCTCGTATGGTGTTTGGATGCACCTCTATCTCTCCTCACCTTTTGGATGCAATGGAAACATCGCTTGCCTCCTTTTCCCTCCCCCTCTTCTCTCCTTCCTCCCTCCCTTTTTTTTTGTACCTTTACCGCTTTCTCTCCTTTTCTCTTGGTTGTTTCTCCCGTCCTCTCCCTCCCTCCCGCTCTCTTCCTCCCTCTCCCGTCTTCCCTTTAATTGATTTTTTTCCCGCTGTAGCCAGTCGATATTTTTTTCACCTTACAGGGTACCTCTTCCGGCGATGACTCGTCCTTTGCTGCAATCTCACCAAGTTGATGAATGTGTATGATCGAGTCTGAGAAATTGCATGCAATAAATTGTTTTAAAATGATTGTCGTGCTCTTCGGTAATTTATATACTGGCAGATCGTTTTGCGTGTCTTGCTTTTCTGATATTTTCTATGGTAATATGTTTTTGATGCCCCCTCGAGGAACGAGGCACCCCTACCCCCCTTCACTTCGATTCGCCACCAACGCATAACTGGCCAACTTCGACCATAAAACGGCCCCATGTTTTTACCCTCACCACAAATGGACACACGAGTGGTTTTACCTTGCCTCGTTGAAAGATCGCCTCCCACGTCTTGTTTGTTTGCTCACAATGTGCCGACGCTTTTGGTCGGAGTAGCACGAGTATGCTCGTGCTCATGCGAAACTCATGTGAGAGACACATGCTACACGCTCAGGAGGACGTGTTTCCTCGACCGTTGTCGGGGGGTGCCCCTCCTGACCGCACTGTGAAGCATCTATTTGGCGTTCCTTATAGGTCCCCGCGTGGAAATGAGGTGATGATGGTGGCTATGGGGTACGCCGAGGTCGTCTGAGCGCTTGTGAGCGGATGGCTAGATAATGTCGAAAAGAAAAGGGTTGTGAATTGTGAAGATCCGTGGTGAGAGTAGATGTGATCTTGGGGACAGCAGGTGGGGAGTCTGGGGACTTGCTTTGAAGAATCTTTGTTGTCCTTGCTTGTGGTTCTGTCTTCCCCTATTCCTGATCCCTGCACTTTTTTCGATAACCCCCCTGTCATCATTATCCTGTCACCTTCGGCTTACGGGGGACCACCCTCCTTCAGAGAGGATTCATCTTCCTTTGTGCCTCTTCCTGATTTTCGTTCTCCTCTAACCACCCCTATCTACATCATCGCCCGATTCTCTATTATTCCCTTTTCTTTTCTTTTCTTTTTTGTTCTTCCTTATTCTTTTGTCCCTTATCTTCTTTTCCCTTTTTTTTTTTTTTCTTGTTTCCCATATTTTTTTTGCTTTTTTTCGGGGTTTTTTTTGCGCATTCGCAGAGGCCTCGTAAGGAATCGTTCCTGGGCGGATGGTGGAATGAGTTAACGCATCGCTTCCTGTGGCTGGGAGAATGCGCCTGGCCCGCGAAACCCACACAAGCATTAACAACTTGCGTTAACCCGGGGGTCATGGATAAGATAAAAAGTGCATAAGATATCAGGTGCTTCCCCCATTTCTTTGAAATGCTTTGTTTTAGTGCCCTCGTTGTTCTCGCGGGAGCGTCACGGTGGGATCGGAGTAGGGAAAAATTCAACGATGAACTGAGAATCTTATGCGAGCAGCTTAAGTTGAGAAAGCAGGAGTATGCTAGGGAATGTAGGGAACTGGGGAGAAGATCTGCCAGGGTTGAACAGATCCTCCTGAGGATCTGGGGTGTGGATGACTCGCACCTAGAAGGACGAGTCCTTGAAACCCAGATAGACGGTTTCGCCTACAGCAGGAGGCAACCAAGTAACGAAATGCGATGATCTTGCGATCTAGGCCGAGGAAAGGGCGGAGATAAAACGGGCGATCGCCGCCATTACGGCCACTATCAGGGATTCCCCCCTCACAATCAATGGGATGGGTGCTAATGCCTTTGAACGGGACCAATATACAGCGTTCACTCCCTTGGCGTCCACATATTGGGTAGAACACATTCAACACATATCCACGGGTTTCCTACATGCGATTTGGAAGATGGAGACCTTTAACTACATCGCACCAATCTCCATCGGGGCACTCCAATTCCTGCGGAATGTCAAAGATGCACAGGTGAAGGAGTGTAGGGCGCAAGTACTGAAAGGAAGGCCGAAGTTCCCTGRRAGGGTCCYCYACTGGACCCCCAAGACCTTAAATTCCCACCGATGCGCGCATTAGATCCAGATAAATGTGGGGAAACGAGCTTGGGGATGTGGCAGAAAGCTATTAGACAGCAGGACAGGCTAGACCTCAAGAACTTGAGGAACATATGGAGCGTAGGGAGACCCTATCTCAAATGCAAATGCAAAAGGAGAAAAAAAAAGGATTGCGGAGACACCCCACTATGGTTTGACCATGCCCTCTGGTATCTACTTGCTCACCTGGACGTACTGTTCCCGAACATGTCCTCGATAAAAATCAGGACATTGATGTTGATCCACTACCTCAGGACCATACAGAGGGACGGGCTGCTTGCCGCCATTAGCTTTCACCGTCTCAGAGATATGATGATGGGATATCTCAGGGATCTTTAGAGGGATGCAACACTCGACACGGAGGGTTTGCTGAAGGAGGATCGCTTATGGAGCTATCCGATACCTGCGTTACTTGCACGAATTATGATCCCTACGCGGATCCCTGAAAAACTGACGAGGTTTCCGCTCAGCTCTCCGCGAGCAGCAGCGCGAAAGAGAGGCGGGGGCGCGCATGTACCGGGCCAAACCACGCTCAACTTCCGCAGGGTAGCACCGGTGCCCGATGCTCCCCCTCACCCTCCTCCTCCTATGCCTCCTCCTCCTCCTACTCCCAATCCTCCTACTCCTCCCAATCCCCCTCCCCCTCCACCTCCTCCCCCTCCTTCACCTTCTACCCCTCCTCCACCTCCCTCTTCGTTTGCTTCAAGTTCTGCTCATCTGCAACCCGCAGTGGTGATTACCGGACTGCAGCAAGCAAGCAACGGTACTCACCTCCGTGGCGTGCATACCACCAACCTACTTACAGAGGAACATCGATCCACACCAGTGCAGGCAACGGGGAACAGGACCTTTCCCTCCCTGCTCTCACCTTCTCTGCAACCAGTTATGATGATTAGTTAGGGGACTGACTCCTCCTCCCGTCATCCTCCTGTAAGCTGAAAACTCAGTGCAATCGACACTTACCCAGACCGGGAGAGGCAAAAAGAGAGGCGTGAAGAACAGGGAAGGAGGAAGAACGGGCACCGCCAGCAGCAGGCGACCTGCACGTGCATAACCCCTCTCAAAAAAATGGATCAGTGGGTCATGACCATCTTCTTCCAATGCTTTTTCCCAGTTCCCTCTCTCTCCCCTTTCTGGTCTTACCCTTCCTTGTCTTTATTTTCTTCTCTCCCCGTCCTGCCTTCCCTCCCGTGGTTCTTCCAAAATTCACTATCCCATCTGGCACAACCCGTGTCCTGTGATTGTGACCTTCAAAGCGCAGGACCCGAGTAGCAACTTCGATGCTCCAGGGCAGATGACCACACTACCGACTAGCCGAAGATCTTGGAAGAGGCAGAAGACGGATTGCAACGGTTTCTTACACCTGAGGTACACTAGCAGGGTGATGGAACCGCTTTCCATCAAGAGGCTGATAAATGAGGTCCTGGCCAGGATAATAGGAAACGAGACAACGTCGTGGCTGGAACGACCCATGATCGGCTGGACCTATAACGGCAACATCGTTTCTAGGCTTTGCAGACCAGCGGAGGTATTCTGCGAGTTTAACGTTGTGCAAAGGATGGAGGTCTACGACCCGGAGCAATGTCCATGCAGGTCTCGCAGGTACTCGGACATGCTCAACAATGCTTCGATTGAACTGCTCAAAAGCCAGGGTTATACACATGTAATCACTTTGGACTTGTCAATCACGAACAACCCACTACTCAAGGGCATCATCAACTCTGGACTGAACCATATCCCATGCATGAGAACGAGGTGGGCGGATTCCTGGACAGATTCACGGTGATGGCATTGGAACTACGCGAGCTCACAGCGTCCACCAAATCATTTCTACGGAGGATAATCTTGAAGAAGGTGAGAGCGAGGATGACGAAATACAGGGAGCAGCACAGGCACGTGACCGAGGAGCCGTTCGAGCATCTAGCTGTCAAGCGGGAACTGGGGTTCCTCACCGGCCGCTTCCTCATCTGTCCGGCGGATAAAGCCTCGAGCACTCCGGCCTTCGTATGCAAGAACTTCATACGGAAGCTCGCCTTTGAGATGTTGTCTGGACATGAGTTTGCGAGCATCGTCCCCCCCCTTGCAGCAGTCATCTCACGAATACAGTGCGAGCTTTCAGCTATGCCCGTGCTGTCGACTGCACCAGCGACACTCCCGTACCTGATGACGGTGTTTAAGGCGCATAAAAGCACGCTTCACTGGATCACGAACACGGCCAAGACAGTTGTTTCCCCGGAAGCGGACCTTTGCGCTTGTCTGCTTCAGTTTCTCCTTCCCCTGGTGCAGACGTTCTGTAAGGAGAGAAGCTGGGAGGTGGAGGAATGGTTTGGTGTGAACTTGAGGCGAACTTGTGGTGGTAAGTAGCCTCAGTGGGAGAGTTTTGTGCGAACCTGCCAGAGAAGATCTATTCCATCTTTACGGCGGACATCACTAGATGCTTTGAGACGATTCCCACGGGCAACTTGAAGGTAGCCTGCCGGCGGCGGTGAGGATCTACGTGCAAAGCACGATGCAGGTGCGAAGGGAGAGGAGCTCGAGCCATACCATTCGAATCAAGGAAGGACGAACGACAAGTTGTGGCCATCGTGGGTGGATGGCGATCAGGCGGAGGGTATGGGGTCTATGCTGTTCAGGGAGGAGGATGTCTGCTGGCTCACGGAGTGCTGCATCGCCAACAGCGTGTTACGCATGGGGGACGATGTGTGGAGGCAGGTCAGGGGCTTCCCCATGGGCTTGGCCTGCTCCCCGATCTCGTGCGATATCTATTTTTTTAAGTATGAATATCACGCCATGATGAGATTGGCAGATACTGGGAATGCGCATCTGATTCCATACTTCTCGGACACCTTCAAGTACATCGATGACCTGGGCGCAATCAACAACACCATCATCAAGAGTTTCATGCGGAAGAAGGAGGACAGGGAGGAGAACGACCCGTGTTGGATCTACCCAGACGAGTACATAGAAATTAAGGAGAATACTGAGGTTGCGGTGGATGAGTGCGGGCGAAAAGTCAACTTCCTCAGTTTGACCATTACGATCACCTCTCCTTTGCGGGGACGTACGTCAATTCCAGGCATGACAAGCGCAAAGGACTAGGTTTTAGTTCATGAAGGTTCATGAAGTATAAATCCAACAGGAGTGTCAAGCAGTCGATGCAAATTATCCCAGCCCAGGTCGCGCAGATCCTATTACTGTGCTCCGAACCAGGTGATGCGGCCGAAGAGATAAAGAAGGTGGTGGCCACGATGAGGAACAATGGCTTTGCCAGAGATGCTTGTTGGGGGGTGTATAAGAAGACAATGCGGAATACATATCGCTACTAGCCCTTCAAGGCCTCCGTAAATGCGGTCAGGGAAGCGTTGACCGACATGTATGGTAGCACTAACTGTTGTTTATGTGTGCGTATCCATGTCTGTGTGTATGTGTGTGAGTGGCGTCCGGGGCACGACTAGGCCGCGAGGGCCGGTTGTTCTCCGGACAACCACCCCCTCGGACCCTGTAATCCCCCGGAGGAAACGGGGTGGGACACACACACACACACACACACA